GGCACCGCCTCTGCCTGGCCCGTCCTCCCCCTCCGCCTGCGAGCGCACCCCCTCCAGCGCAGGGGCCCGGCCTCTCTGGGTGGATAATTTAATCCCTAACAAGGGCGACAGGGGCACCGCAGTCCACTCTTCGAGCACGTGTCGTGTCCTCGTGGGCTGGGGAGGCACCTGAGATGAGATCGGTGCCCGTGCTGGTCTCCTGCGGGCGGAGTGCTGAGAGCGAGCGTGGGCAGGGGCTGGGGTTCAGGCCTCTTTAGGGCTGTCTGGCTGGTCTGTGTCTCGGTTGGGGAGAAGCAGGGCCGGCCTCACTCATGTGGCTGTGCCCCGGCCTCTCATCTGCAGCACTTCGGCGAGGGTGAACCCCGGCCTTCAGGCCAGAGGCCAAGTGCGGAGCCCGTGTGCAGGAGGCGCTCAAAGGAAACAAAACGAGAGCTCCCTGCCCGCTGAGTCGATGCCCGCTCTCAGCCACCCTATGGGACACGGCAGAACCGTGGGTTCCCGAGACGGTGACTGTGTGGGAGTGGAAAGGCTCGTCCGCCTCCTGTGGAGTGGACGGCTGGTGGTTTCAAACTGCTGACCTTGCAGTTAGCAGCCAAGCGCACAACCACTGTGCATCAGGGCTCCTTCGGGAAGCACTTAGCAGACGAAACTGCAGTGCAGACAACAGCCACTTGTCGGGGCAGCTAAATCCAGACCCCGACGTGGATACCCCCAGCAGTGGGGGCAGCACCCACACACTGCCCCTTGGCTGCCCTCAGTGGCTCTGGTGTGGGGGCACCGTCCCTGTTTTTCTCCATCCTGCAGGAGTGGGGGTTCAGGGAGGGCAGCTGCCTCTGGGTCCCGGGGGTAGGGGGGCGGGTTGGTGGCAGGGGGCTCACCGGAAGCGCTGCGTCTGGGGGTGCAGGGGGCCTGCGTAGCGCCGGGCGGACGACTGATACAGGTGAGTGAGCAAGGCCTGCCCTGTCTTCTGGCTCGGGTTGTTGGCGAACTTGACCGTGATTGGCTCGGCCGCGCCCAGCGGCTTCTGCCCGTTCAGTCCTTTGATGGCCTCCTCGGCCTCGATCCTCTTGTCGAAGCGGATGAACCCCACGCCCCGGGACACGCCTGCCAGGTGTGAGGGCACCATGAGGACACGGCCCCCTCCCTCTCCCCATTATCCCGGCTGACCCCTTCACCGGCTCCTTGCCCTGACCTCTGAGATGTCTCCGTCTGGGTCCTGCCTCTGCCCCTCGCCCCGTTAGGCCCCTCCTGGCAGCCTGACCTGTGACCTGGTCCACGAGGATGCGGGAGGTAATGATGCGGCCGTACTGGGAGAAGAGCTGCTCCATCTCCTTCTGGCTCATGGTCTTGGGCAGCCCGCTGACGTACAGGTTGGCATCCCGGATGGACGCGGAGCTGGGTCTGGCGTAGGACACCTGGGGGTGGGGGCGGTTGGGCAGAGATGAGGGGAAGGCCAATCCAAACCGCTGCCGAGTCACCGAGCTGCCTCATTCACCCACAGGACGTGGGGCGGGGGTGGGTGGGTGGGGGGTGGCGGGCTGGCTGCAGCCATGACGACGTGGGCTGCTGGCACTGAGTGTACGGGGCCACACCGCCCGGGACCACAGCCCCCAACAGCCCGAGTAGAAAGTGGGCCAGGCCTGTGGCCCCTCCTCCGCCTTCCAGCCTACAGGCAGCACTCGGGGCTTTAAACACCAGCAAGTCCTGCCTCCCAGGCTCCCATGGGGGAATCTCCTGGGGCCTTCTCTTACCTTTGCCTGCCCCCACCTGCTCCCACTTGCCATCCTGGGGGCTCAGGCTCCGGTCTCCACCACCGTCCCCAGCATCCTGAGTTTAACACTTGTCCCTCTCCCACCCGCTCCGACGCCCCTAACCGCCTTCTGCCTGGATCTCCATTCTCCTCCTCCGCAGGCCTGTCCTCGCCCCTGCAGGCTGACCTCCTTGGAGGGCGCCCCTGAACACCTGCGTCGGGGCACCCAGCTCCCACCTCCCTCAAGTCCCCTCCTGGGTCTCCAGGCTCTGCACCGGCTGCCCGTCACCTCCTGCTTCGTTCCCCTGACTCCAGTCACCACGGTCCCACCTCAGGCTCTGCACCCGCTGCTTCCTCTGCCTCTGCGTGTTGTGGAGACACCCCCGCCCCACCCCTGGCCTCTCTCCTGCGAATGTGCCCCCTCCTTCACTCTCTCCAGGCACTGCTGTCTGCTGTGGACGGGGACACGTTTGGGTGCAATCATTTGGTTCCTGCCATTGGCAAGGGTCTGGCCCAACAATGGGCCTCTGCAGCTGTTTAGAACGTGTGTCCCTACCCCCCCGCCCCCAGACAGTGGTGCGTATTGTAAAGGGAGGGAAAGAAAAGTCCATTGACAAAGCCGTGTGTGTGTGTGTGTGTGTGTGTGTGACCCCATCTCATTGTGTGTCTATAAATGTCCTGGGGCGGGGGGGAGACTGGAGGGACCCGCCCCACAACGAGTGACCCTCAGCTCTGTGTGTGTGTGTGTGTGTGTGTGTGTGTGTGTGTGTTTTGGGGGGGAGGGGGTTGTCAGCATGCAGGAGCCGAAGCTCCCCTCCCACACCTTTCTGCTGAGGTCTTTTCTCTGCATTTCTTTTATCTCACAGAATAACCTCTGGGCTGATAGGGTCATTGTCAAGGGTTGGACTTCTCTTGGGGGCGGGGAGCTGTGAGGGGGACTTCATTCAGCATAGCTCATTCAGAAGAGGGACCAAGGCATGCAAACAGCTGGGCCGAGGGCGCTCCTGAGGCGGGGGAGGGGGTGTGTATGACAGACCATGGTGTGCACCTGGGGTCTTTCAACAAAACAAACCTAGGAGCAGCTATTCTTCCTGGAATTCAAATATGTGAAGCGTCTCTCTCTGACTGAGCTATGAGGGGGCTCCCTGGGGGGTCAGATTTGGGGGGAGCCAGAGCTCCGGGGGACTGGGAGCAGCGGAGGGCAGACAAAGGTGGCCACGGAATAGGATTCTCTGAGGTGGGTGGTCCTGGGGGTGGGTCTCCCACCTAAAGGTGGGCTCCCCAGGAGCACACAGGGGACTTCCTCCCGGCCCGTTTCCAGGATGAGGCCTGGCACCCAGTAGGCCACGGAAATAATGGGTGAAGATTCTGCTGGGCCCACATGGGATGAAACACCACCACACACTCCCACAGGCAGGAGCCCACCAAGGCCACACTACATCATAGCCTCGGCCACCGTGCCTGGACGCATGGGGGTGAGGGGACAGCGGGGCCTTACCTAGTTACGGGGACAGCTGGGGAACCCCACACCTGTCACGTCACTGAGCACACATGGTCACACCCGTTTCATCCGCATGGGGCACAGTGAGACACACCCACACAGCGTTGACCATGCCACACAGACACCCTGTCACAGCTGGACGCACCACATGGTCCCATCCTGTCCCAGCAAGCTAGAGTGACAGCCAGGGTGTTGCAGAGTACCTGCCAAGCCAACGCCATGTTCACAAGCACAAAGCTACCACGTCCCACAGACAGGCCCACACACCATGTCACAGAGCCGCAAAACACCATGTCCCACGCCACACTGTGTCTCAGACCCCAAAGGACACTCAGAGTCCTCCACATGCATGCTCCTTTGTGCACACACGGTGCCTCTGTTGGTTATTAGGTGCCCAGGTGGGACCTGTGATCACCTCTCTGGGTCCAGCTGGCCACTGGGTCAGGATCTCACGCCCCACCTCCTGGGGTGAGGGACAAATTCCTGCACCTCTGTTCCCAAGGCAAGCGGAGGCCAGATGGGTGCTCCGCCCCTCCCCCACCCCCCAAGGTCCAGGAGCAGATTTGCGGGTGGAGCCCAGACACCCCCAGGCGAACTCAGAGGGGGGGTTTCCATGGAGACATCCCCCCACCCCAGGGAACCTGGGCTCCCAGGGTCTCAGCTGCAGCTGCTGCGAGGGGAGGGGGTGTTGCACAAAGGTGTGGGCCCTCAACCCCACCCTTGCAGACCCTAATTAGGGTCCAGATGGCAGACGGGCTCCACCCCTCCATCTCCATGACAAAGGCAGGGAGGGGCTGCCCACTGGACCCTGGTCACTCCTGCTGCGGCTGCTACTGCTGGGACCTCTGGGGCCAGCTGACTCAGCTCCAGAGGACAAGGGGGCGGGGCTGTTACTGTCCCCACTGACAGGTGAGGGCACCGGTTCAGAGAGGTAAAGGGGGGGCGGGTGTTTGGAGACGACCCATGGGACGGAGCAGGTGACCCAACCGGAGGCCTTGGAGGACAGATTCCAGCTTCCAGCTGGGCAGTGGGAGGGAGAAGGATGGGGGTCATGGGGGGGGGGGGCAGGCGGCAGGCCGGCACTACCTTGATGGTCTTGGTCTGTAGTTTGAGGCCGTTGAGGGTGTTGATGGCTTTGTCGGCATCGTTGGGGTCAGAGTAGTTCACAAACCCGTAGCCGAGGCTCTGCCCTGTGGGTAGGATCAGGACGATGACCTGACCGTCCACTCAGGCCCCAGGCCTGCCAGCGTCCTCCCAAACCCTGCCCCCAAGGCTGTGAGAACCCAGATGTCACCCTTGTCTGCTCTTCCAGAGCCCCACGCCCCCAAATCTAGAGTCCCACCTGTCTTCCCATCGCACCTCCAACTCCCGAAGGCCAACCTACCCCCAGCACACCTGTGCTCTTGGGGGAGCGGGGAGGGGAACATGGCACTGTTTTAAGAGAGCGTTGGCACTGTCAATTCGTTTCCCTTTCAACAAAGTATGTGCAGAGCGCCCCCTGTCAGGGCCGCAGCCCTGGCACCCCATTTCCAGCCTGCCCCTTCCTCCTCCATCCTCCTCTGGGCCTTCCTGTCTTTGCCTTTGCGCGCACGTTGCCCCTGTGCCAGTGCTCAGTCCAGAGCCCACCGGAGCCCCTTCCTCTTGGGTGTTCTTGTTGGGTGCATCGATGGAACACCTGTACCCTGGCAGCCGACCACCTCTCCCCTCCGGTCCTTTCTTCCGCCCCACCCCACCCACCGGCAGCCACACCTGTGATCTTGTCCCGCACCAACTTGCAGGACTCGATGTCGCCAATGCTGCCGAAGAGGCTCTTGAACTCATCCTGGGTCATGTTCTGGGGCAGGTAGTTGACAATGAGGTTGGTCTTGCTGTCATCAGTGGCTCCATTTGTACCAAGGAGTGGCCCGTTGGGCAGGGCCGGGCCTGCCGGGCCCCCCGCCACCTGAGACTCCATGGCCCCGAGTATCTGCTGGAGACAACAGGCCACACCCGCTCACCGCCCCGTTCCGACAGCGGGGCCAGCATAACCGAGGTGGGGCTTCATGGTGATCCACTCGGCATCCCTAACCACATGGGGTGGGACATGGGGAGGGGACAGTCTATTCTGGAGCCCTGGTGGCATAGGGGGTTATGTGTTGGGAGCGGCTAATGGCAAGGCCAGTCGTTCAAAATCACCAGCTGCTCCACAGGAGAAAGAGGCTTTCTACTCTCACCAAGGGTTGAAATCTTAGAGACCCACGGGGCAGCTCGGCTTTGTCCTCTGGGGTGCTGAGCGTCACACAGACTCGATGGCAGTGAGCTGTCTCAGGCGTCTACCACCAGGTGTTACTAAGACAAGCTGGTGGTGGTGGTGGTGCCAGCTCATGAGGTCCAACGCACAGAGACCCTCTGAGTGACACACCGCTTTGCCCCGCCCCGCCCCGCCCACACAACTGTTCCTACGCTGGAGCCCATTGTGGCATCCACTGTGCCAGTCGATCTGGTCGAGGGCCTTGCTTTTTTCTCTACCAAGGGAGAAAGAACACAAAGCCTTTTCTAATTAGCCAGTGGAAACCCACTGGGTTACAAGCAAAGACCGTCCAATGCTGTCTGTTCAGTGTGTTGAATGCCTTGTTCTAAGGAGCCCATTCCTCAGGGGAGTTATTTTTGACTTCACAGACTGTCCACCTGGACTCCTGTGCCTACCCCCTCTCACCTCCGATCCTCTCTCCTGTCCCACTCCACCCACCAGCAGCCCAGGGTTGGGAGGCTCTCGGGATAAAAGCAGACCTGGACCGGAGCATAGCAACAACCAGGAAGATGGTGCGAGACTGGGCAGAGCTACCTTCTCTCATCCTCGGGGGATGCCAGGAGTCAGGGCCAACTCAAGAGCACTGGGCAGCCAACAGCTCTATTCTAGGACCGGGGAGACCACTCCACCTGCAACTGTCCTGCGAAGACGTGCTGGCGGAAATACCGCAGAGGCAAACTGATGCCCAGAGCCTATGCAGTTCACAGAAGAGACAAGAGAATCCTCACACCATCAGAACAGGAAGCAGCACCTTTCTTTTTTGGCTTTAAGGGAGGGTCACAGAGCCGATTCGTGTAACTGCAGTCAATACGTTGCCTGCCTCCAGCAAGATGTGATAGATGTGTTTACAGCGATGGGAGAGGAAGACGTGAGCTGCTGCGGCGGCGTATGTTCAGCCAAACATCTCATGGGATTTGGTTTCTTGGTTTGGAGGTTTAGGGTTATGGTTTCATGGGACATCCCAGTTAATTGGCCTGATCATGTGTTTAGTGCGTCTCTGTTCTACTTTGTAGTTCCCTGCTTTGTGCCTGGGGTCTTAAAAGCTTGTCCGTGGCTACCCACGGCATCTTTGTTCCTCTGGAGAAACAGAGGAAGGACAGGAGAAGGAAGTGGAATGTGTGACTAATGGCTTCCAGGAACCAGGAGAACTGCGTGGTGGCTGGCGACAATTACTGAACATCTTGATCGAAGATTTTGTAGAAGCATCCTGATCAAGTGGCAGAAAATCGCAGACCTGAATTTCAAATTCTCATGGCCTCTAGACTTTCTGGAGCCACGGAGGCTAGATGAACCTCTGAAACGATGACCCTAAGATAATTTTTTTTAAGATAAAAACACCCCGAAGTCTTCTTCAAACCAGACTTATCGTTTCACTAGTAGAGACTTCTGCCTTGAGCATTATGCTGTTTAAAGATCTACCCACTTGCCATACAATTGACAACAGTAACTAAAAAGACTAGACAGGAACCTTGGGGGGCAGTGAGTTTACGTTAACGGGAAGAACAACTCAGAAAAGAAGGCTGCGGACGATTGAACAACTGAGAGAATATCATCAACGTCAATGAATCGTGTGTGAGCTTCAAAAAGCTTAAGACCAGTTTCATTTTCTTTTAAGTCCATATTTCCACAGCATTTGTGAAGCTCTGTGGTCATGTAGAAACTGTTCAGTGTATAGTCTCAACAACAAAAGAGAAAATCATTTTTAAGAATCAATATAATATGACAAAATAACAATTTATAAATTGTCAAGGGCTCATGAGGGAGGGGGGAGCGGAGAGGGAGGGGAAAAATGAGGACCTAATGTCGGGGTTTAAGTGGAGAGGAAATGTTTTGAGAATGATGAGGACAATGAATGTACAAATGCGCTTTACACAATTGATGCATGTATGGATTGTGATAAGAGTTGCATGAGCCCCAAATAAAATGATTTAAAAATAAATAAATAAATTTGATATTTTGTGATATGGCTTCACTGAAAGAAAAAAAAAGAATCAATATAACATTTTTGTTTGTTTGTTTGTTTGAACATTTCTTTTTGTAGCTTAGAAAACTAAACCAAACTCACTTCCATCGGATCGGCTCTGGGTGCATGGCCACCTAGTTGGTCAGGGCAGACCTACTCCTGTGGGTTTCCAAAACTGTAATTCTTTTTGAGAATGCCTCTTCTTTCTCTTGAGAAACGACTGGTGGTTTTGAACTGCTGACCGTAGGCTAGCAGCTGAAAGCATAACCACTTAGAAGCCCCTGCAAACCCCTCTCTGATCATATCCCTTTTTCCTCCTATCATAAATAATCCTATGACAAATACGATGTTACTATTTCTTTTGCTCCACCCACAGATTTCCACTAGGCATTTACCCCCATAGCTTTTCCACTGAGGAATTTGGGATTTTCTATGGATAACATAATATCTGCAAGCAACAACAGCTTTGTCTTCATCTACACTATAGGCTCCCAAACTTTTTGGCATACTGCTCCCATTTAAGAAAAAAAATTTTTTTTTACTTAGGGCCCTCTACCCATGAAACACTTTGTATTATAGCCAGCAACCCAGGATAAAGTGTAGGCATCTGCTTTCAGTGTAGCCCCTCCCGACACTTTGGGAAAACTGATCTATGGTCTACACCTGTTATTTTTCTTGTCTTATGGCAGTGGGTACAATGTTATAAACTAAAAAAATAAACCCCAACTCACTGCCATTGAGTCAATACTGAATCATAGAGAACCCTGGAGGGTTTCTGAGACCGTAACTGTCAACGGGAGTAGAAAGCCCAGTTTTCCTCCCAATGAGGTGCTGGTGGTTTCGAACAGCTGACCATTGGGATCGCAGCCCAAAGTGTCACGCTTATTCCTGATGTTAAAGGAAATGCTCGAACAGTTCATAGTTAAACGTGATCTTTGCTACAGGTTTTTTGTAGATGGCTTTTACCAGGTGAACAATATTTTATTCCTACTGTCCTAACAAGAATGGAGCCCTGGTGGCCTAGCAGTTACATATCAGGTTGCTAGCCACAAGGTCAGCAGTTTGAAACCAACAGCTGCTTTGAAGAAGAAAGGATTTCTACTCCCATGGAGAGTTACAGTCTCAGCAAACAACGGGCCATTCTGCTCTGTCCTATAGGGTCTCTAGGAGTCCGAATCAGTGTGATGGCCGTGAGTTATTCTAACAAAATTATTTTATGAAAAAATGGAGATTTAATTTCATTGACATTTTCAGCATCTATTGACATTATTTTGGGGGGTTTAAATGTTCACATGATAAAATACTGGAATTAATTTACTAATCTTTAACCAAACAACCTTGCATCCATAAAATAAAGCATACCTGGTCTCATGGTAACTTTAAATCTTGATTTGCTATACAATAATGATTTATAAATTATCAAGGGTGCATGGGGGAGAGGGGAGGAGGAAGGGAGGGGGAGGGGAAAAAA